ACAGCACTTAACAACAATAATGATAACTATAAAGTGCAACATTTGCCAGTTCAACATTTTTTATGTAACAATTCAATGACACCTATCACATTATTCATATTATGCAACCATCAGCAGATAGTAACTGGTTTTACCAAGTCCTATTTAAACACCCCCCAAATTTTTATCCCTGTTTCCACAAGCAATTTGTTTCTGTTTTTTTCTTCTTCTGCAGGGGTTGGAGCAATGACATGGTCTCCACTTGCCTGTGGAATCATCTCAGGGAAATATGGAAATGGGGTACCTGAAAGTTCCAGAGCTTCACTGAAGGTATTTTCTTCAACCTCTAGAAAAGTGGCTTTTCATCAGTGGGTCAGGGGAATGGGAAGGAAGACTGGGCAATGGGGAAAGAAGATGAGTAAAACAGCTCCAAAACCAAGATTCAGTAAAACAGCTCAGAAACATTGTCTGGATCCTGGGTTCAGACAAAAGCGTGGACTTGGTCAGGCCAGTTTCCTCTGGGGGCTCTCCTTAGCTCCCTGCTCCTGGCCAAGCAAAAGTTAGCTCTACATAAATTGCCAGCATAGAAAATTCTTCTCTTCTGAGGACTGGGGAGTAAAGCACTCAGTGACCAAGTTGGACATGTAGGGCTTAAATCCATATCTATTATTTATACTTACTTTAAAGAAATCATTTCCTTGCTCTTTTAAAACTGTTGAAATTTGAAACCCCTTTTCTATAGAAGAGGATTCCCTGGGTGGTACAAACAGTAAATGTTCTCAGTTGCTAACTAAAATGTTGACTGGCAGTTTAAGTCCATGTGGAGGTACCTCAGAAGAAAGACCTGGTAATCTACTTTTAAAAAAATCACCCACTGAAAACCTTTTGGAGCACAGTTCTGCTCTGATACACACTGGGGCACCATAACAGAATCAACTTGTTAGCAACTGGTGGTGGTGGCTGTGATATAAAAAAGCTCATTTTACTTTTCTTCATAAAATTTAAGTTATACAGGTTTAATCCATGCAATTGTAGATCTTTTTATTTTACTTCACAGATATTACTTTTTTCTTTTACAAATCGAAGGTTTGTGGCAACTGCATTGAGCAAATCTATTTGCGTCATTTTTCCAATTGCATGTGCTCACTTTGTGTCTTCGTGTCACATTTTGGTAATTCTCACAGTATTTCAAACTTCTTCATAATACTATTGCACACTTACTGTTGTTGTTGTTGTTGTTAAGTTGTTAAATGCCATTGAGTCTGTTCCAACTGATAGCGACCCTGTATAGGGTTTCCCAGGAGTGGGTTGTGAGTTTGAACTACCACCAACCTTGTGGTTCAAACCAACCTTGTGGTCCAATGCTGTATCCTAGAGCACCACACCAGGACTTAATGATGTTGTTAGTGTTACTGTTAAGTGCTATCAAATCAATTCCAACTCATAGCGACCCTGCACAGGGTTTCCAAGGAGTAGCTGGTGGGTTTGAACTGCCGACTTTATGCTTCACAGTCCATATAGTGCCACACCAGGAGTCCCCAGGACTTAATAACTTAATGTTGTTGTTGTTAGGTGCCATCAAGTTGGTACTGACCCACAGTGATTCTATGCACAGCAGAATGAAACACTGCCAGATCCTGGGCCAACCTCACTACTGTTGCCACACTTGAGTCCATCGATGCTGCCACTTTGCCAATCCATCTCACTGGAGGTCTTCCTCTTTTTCTCTGACCCTCCACCTTACTAAACATGATTTCCTTCTCCAGCGACTGGTCCCTCCTGACAATATATACTAAGTATGAGAGATGAAGTTTGGCCATCCTGGCCTCCAAGGAACACTCTGGCTGCACTTCTTCCAAATAATAACTTAATAGATTACAAAAACGAAAAAAACAAACAAACAAAACCCTCACTGAAATATAGGGTTTCTGAAAAGGTAAATCTTTTAGGAGCAGTCTCATCTTTCTTCCAAGAAGCAATTGGTAGATTTGAACCACTGAGTTTGTAGTTAGCAGTCCAACACCTAACCCATAGTGCCACCACGGCTCCTTTAATGGACTACAGTAGAGCAAGTAACTTTTAGGTGCACTGGTGGTGGTGGTGGTGGTGGTGGTGAGCTGTAGAGTCAGTTCTGACTCATCATGACCCTGTCTTTCTCCCATGGAGCAGCTGGTGAATTCAAACTTTATGTGCACTTATTGTTAAGTGCCATCAAGTTGGGTCCAACTCATAGTGACCCTGTCTAGGCTTTCTGAGCAATGCTAACCCGACGGTGCCACATCAGGACTAGGAAACCAAAAATTTCATGTGACTCGTTTTATTGCAATGAAGTCCTGACGTGACACCGTAGGATAAGCATTGGACTGTTAACTTCAAGGTTGGTGGTTCAAACCCACCAGTTGCTCCTCAGAAACCCTATCCTGGGTCACTATAAGCCAGAACTAACTGGATGACAACAACAACAATGACAACAGTTTTATTGTAGTGGTCTGTAACCAAGCCCACAATAGCCGTGCAATATGCCTATAAAGGGAAAACTGATGTTGCTTGGTGTGGTGTGAGGTTGGTTGCATTTTTATTGTTGCGGGGAGGGAGGCAGCACAACACAATTACATAGTAACACTTCCGTCACTGCAGTTCTATGACTGGAATTTTTAGAGGTTAGCTCAGGCCATTGAGTCTTGTAGTTTAAATTCTGCTCAAAAGCATAAACGTATCCAAGATCATGGACACAAAATTACTTCCTTTCTGGTCATTTTGATGATTCATTTATTGGAAAGTACTCCAAACATCTTTCTTTATTAACAACAACATGTCTGTTTTTAAAACTTGTGAGAATGTGTAACAACATTAGATTCACAAATTACTCTGTATTGTCAAGGGAGACAAAATGCAGGCATTTAAAAACTTCAGCCATGCCAAAATTCTCTTCAGCAGAAACATAGGTCTGAAACAGCTTCATGCTTCCATCCGCATTAAAGTAGCAAAACACTTCAAGTCTAGCCTGAACCAAATCATCCAAACCAACGAAACCCATTACTGTCGAGTGGATTCCGACTTGCAGCAATCCTAAATGACAGAGTGGAACTGCCCTATAGAGTTTCCAACACTGGAAATCTTTACAGAAGCAGACTGTCCCATCTTTCTCCCGCAGAGCCACTGGAGGGTTCAAATCAATAAGCTTTCAGTTAGCAGCTGAGTGCTTATCAACCATGCCACCAGGGTTCTACCCGTCCTTAATCATTGTGGCTGTGACCACTATGGGCTTCCCTAAGCAGAGCCTTCTCACAACTAGCTCTTTCACTTTGTTTTCTGCCTAGAAGAGCTGAGATATTAGCTTGCTCTCGAAAATACTATAGTATCAATATCTCCTCAAAGATGTTAACATGGTCAAGTTTTGTATGGTCACAAAAAATAATTATGGCAGAATGTTAAATAAGATCTTGTTCCTGAAAAATGAAGATTGTCCTGAACCAAGTGTAGAGGAAAACTGAAAGCATCTTAGGGAAGAAGCTTTAAGAGGAGGAAAGTGAGAAGGCAATAAAGACGGAAGGGATGGGTGATTGCCATTTTACCAAGCACCTAATTAATGCACTAGATGGCAAGATCGGTTTGAACCACAAAGTCGGCAGTTCAAGATCACCAGCTGCTCCTTGGAAACCCTACACAGGATTACTATGAGTTGGAACCGAGTCGACAGCACTTAACAACAACAACATGTGCTGAGCACTAGGTTAAGTATTTTCATTCCTTTCCCTTTATCTTCTCAGTAAGAAAAGGATATAGATGGTGTAAAGCCAGTTGTAGTTTAAAATGTTGTCTTACATTCTTTTAGAGACTTTCTAAAAATTCAAAACGCTCCCCTATATTTGTTCTTAGAATGTCCCTATAGGAGGGTAACCTTTCCAGATATAGAAACCAAGACACAAAGAGGTCAGATGGCAACTACTCATAATAAATCAAATTCCTTTTAGAACCCAGGTCTCCTGGCTCTCCGTTCCATTATATCCCCCAAAGAATCAAGTTCTTTTCCCTTTATGGCAAGTATTTTGAAGGAGAAAGATGGAATGGCACTGTATTCGGTATGTATGACTGGCTGACCTCCAGCCACCACTAGGGACAAACTTGCAAACAGCTGAAAAAAAAAAATCTTTCAGGAATGTACTAACAAAAAGAGAAAGAAAAATAAAAATGAAGGAGATATATTTGAAGACAGCTGCACCAAAAAGCAGCTCAAGAAATATTTCTGTTGTTGGTTTTAATAAAGTTAACTTGAAACATCCTTAACAATAAACATGAAGGGCTCTCTCCAGTTGAAAGAATGGTGATCAGAAAGCATGATTCTGAAAAGCTTCACAGACTCTCAAGACTTGCTACATACCAACCTGAGTTTTCTGGAGGAATATATGTGCACAGCTTCGTTAGAAGAGTAACCTGAGCAAAAATTGTTGTTAGGGGCTAGCAAGTCGGTTCTAACTTATAGCAGCCCAATGATGGTTTCCAAGGCTCTAAATCTTTATGAGAGCAGAAAGCTCGTCTTTTTATCCCCAGGAACAGCTGGTGGATTTGAATGGTGGACCTTGAAGTTAGCAGCCCAGTGCTTATCCTACATTGCCACCAGCACTCTGTGAGCAAAAATAATGAAGCAGTTATCAGGGCAACCTTAGGAATATATGTTGTTGTTGTTGTGAAGTGCCATTGAGTCACTTCCGACACATAGCGACCCTGTACAGGGTTTCCGAGGGTGTAAATCTTTACGGGAGTAGAAAGCCTCATCTTTCTCCCACGGAGCGGCTGGTAGTTTCGAACCGCTGACCTTAAGGTTCGCAGCCCAATTCGTAACCACTACGCTACCAGAGCTCCTTTAGGAATATATAAGGTTGCTAATAATAATTATTATTACTAAAGATAAATGGATAACTAGGCAAATAAACAGGTTAGTTGGCAACCTTCACCTTCCTGCAAAATAGAATATGTTGTTCCATGTTGGCTGTTGTAAGATACACCAATAAAAGAAAAATGCTAATATCTTGTATCTATTGTGAGTATCAAACTCCTGGTGTAGCGCTTTAGGATTCACACTGGACTGGGAACCACAAGGTTGGTGGTTCAAGCTCACTAGCTGCTCCTCAGAAACCCTGTACAGGGTCGCTATGAGTCGGAACCGACTCGATGGCACTTAACAACAACAACAACATTGTGAGTATTGGGCTGTAGTTGAAGGATAAATTAACCCAGTACCAACTTGACAACGCTTAGCAACCACTAAGAAGACCAACGTAGGGTTTTATTAGAAAGTATATACCCAGAGGGGGTACAAATGATTCGCATTCAACTACTAACCTAAAGAGGAGCCCTTGGGTGAGTCCAAGGTGGCACAACAGTTTAGAACACCGCAGCTAGTGTTGATGGTTTGAGCTTACTCAACAGCTCTGCTGAAGAAAAGACCTGGGAATCTGTTCTTATAAAGATTACAGCCTAGGAAACCCTGTGGGGCAATTCTACTCTGTCATAGAGAATCATTATGAGTCAGAATCAACACAACAGCACCCAACAACAGCAACTAATCTGAAGTTGACAGTTCAAACCCACCTAGCAGTGCTCCAGAAGAAAGGTCTGGTGAACTGCTTCCATAAAGATTCTTGCCTGAAGAAACCCTATGGAGTACTTCTATTCTACAACACATGAGGTTGTCATGAGTGAGAATCGACTCAACAACAACAGGCTTTTTGGTTTTATATCCAGAGAGTTTTCTTGAAGGTCTCAGTTGGCTCTACACTCTATCTATGACTTCTAAATTCACATCAGCTCGATTCCACTGCTAAACTGCACACCACTACTTCTTCCTGTCTGTTAGACATCTCCAACCGGATGTCCCAACTGGCATTAGTCCTTGTGTTCCTGCCTTTCCTCCCTAGTTAGCAATGCCAATCAGAAGTCCCTTCTCCTCCTTCCTGCCTCCTATCCAAGATGGTACCAATGCTCCATCCCCATTCTGATCTCACTACCATCCTCCCCACTCAGTCCTGACTCTGACTCAGAGAGTCATTGGTTCTTGCAGGTTTACTGCAATAGCCTTCCATCTGGACTCTGATTTCCTCCCCTTTTCTCTATAACTTCGTCACAGTGACCAATTATCTTTCCAAAACATTAATCTGACCATGTTACAACCCTGCTTAAAATTATTTAATGACTTCCCAATCATTGCTTATTGGATAAAGTTCAAACTTTGTCCAATTATTTAATTATTTAATGATTTCCCAATCATTGCTTATTGGATAAAGTTCAAACTCCCCAGCAAAGCATTTAAGGAAATCTCCGTGGGATCTAAGCTGAACCTACTTTTCCTATCTTATCTCTCCCCACATCATACTAAACACAGAAATGCTCTTCTTCTTATCCTGCAGTGGAAACCCTCCTCATCTTTAAAGACCAAGCTTAGTTGTTCACACCTCTATAAAACCTATCCTAACTTTATAAAACTCAGATATTGCCACCTTCCATTATCCCATAAACACCTTCTACAGTTTTAGAATTTTGCCTGCAAGTAACAGAAACTGAATTCAGACTCATTTAATCCAAGACAGGGAACTCTTGGTTCTCAGAGACAGTCCTGGGGGAGTTGGGGCTGGGCTGGTCTCAGAGTGACTCCATCCACAGGCTTGAATGGTATCAGGACTCACCATCTCTTCCTCTTTTCTCACTGCATGGGGACATCATTTTCTTCTACTACCGATGAGCTTTCTCCATGGGGCCAGAAGCAGGAAAGCTGGTGGCTTCAGGTTTCCATCCTTAAAGGCATGTAACCTGGGAGAAAAGAAATGTTTTATATTGATCAGCTTCACTAACAGAAAAGACAAGCTTGTGTCACGTGCCAACCTGTCTGACCAATGACGTGTCCAAAGGATGAGGTACTATGGTCAGCTCAGGTCAAGTCACCCACTGTTATTTGGATGGGATCTTTTCCAGAATGAAAGTAAACATATGGCTTCTGAGGAACACTTCGAGGAGGCACACCAACTATAAAACACTTTTCTAATTACTATTTGTTTACTGTTTGCAAGCATCTCTAGAACAGAAACTAAAACTTAGTCATTTAGCTCATCACAGAATCTGACTTGGAACACACGGTCAGTTAATGTTTATTGAATGAATGAGATGAATCTTCAGAAAAGGTCAACAAAGTCTGATCAACAGAACAGGAGTGTAGCTTTTAAATAGCAATTATATTTTCCATAAGCTTTTTGAAGCATTACATATAAATGATACACGATTTCAAAAATCGACCTACTCCATAAGATTGATAGACAAGTAATCAAATCAGCTATTGTTTATATGGGTGGTGTATATTGAAAGTAGAAACCCTGGTTCCATTCCCAGACAATGCACTTCATGTGCAGCCACTCTTTGCTTGTGTGTTGCTACGATATTAAACAGGCTTCAGTGAAACTTTTATACTAAGATGGACTAGGAAGAAAGTGATCTATTTCTGAAAATCAGCCAATGCAAACCCTGTGGATTACAACGTTCTAATCTACAACCAATCATGGGGTGTTAATTTGGTTTCTCTAGAAGAGCATAACTAATATATAGATGCATATTGTTGTTAAGTGCTATAGAGTCAGTTCTGACTCATAGCAACCCTGTTTAGGATCTCTAAGGAGTGGGTTTGAACTGCCAACCTTTAGGTTAGCAGTCCAGCACTTATCTTACAGCATTATACCAGGACTCTATAGATGTATCTATAGAGAGAGATTTAGTACAAAGAAATCCCTCACACAATGGTGGAGGCTGGCAAATCCCAAATATATTGGTCAGGCCTCTTGGTTTACAGGATTGCAAGTCCTGACAGATCCAAAATGTGAAGGCCACGCTGGAAACCTCTGTTGGCTTATGTCCCAACAACCAGAGGTCAGACAAAATTACAGTGTTAAGAGAACAAGCAAACTTAGCCAGATGTATACTGGAAGCAGACCACAGCCCTAAAGAAACCCTTTCCAACTGATTGACTGTTAATCAAAAGAAAAAGAAAGCTTAATAGTCAGACGCTTTTGGAACATTCAGGGAAGTTTATCCCCTGAAAGAGGTTGGTCTGAAACTTCTGTGAGGGTTGGTGATATTTTTCCCAGTGAGGGCACTAAAAGGAAGCTTGGAGCCTCTCTGACGTAGCCAGAGCCCTGGTGTGGACAGGCTGCTGGGCCAGGGTCACTGTGTTCATAATGGTTCACATCGTCACTGGCATCAGTTGTCATCCTGGGCAGATGCTGTGGGACACCCTTCCTCCTGGAAGAAGCCAGGACTGCCTGCAGCCAAGACTTCCAAAACTCTTGGCCATCTCCCCAAGGCAAACTCTCAAATCAGGAGCCAGACCACAAGGCTTGGGGATCTAGGCGGCAAGCAGAACAAGGGCGGCATGCCCTTTCTCTCTTTCTCCTGTATAAAATCCTTCCAAAAACTCATAACAAGACATAAGGTGGCTACCCTTTCTTTGGAATGACTATCTTAGAACGATGGAAACAGTACTTGAAAAACAAATCCCAAGGGCGTACCGAAACCTGCGTGGGTGGAAGATGTGTGACCCCACCGTGACCACAGGGTTTCTATTTCCTTTGGGAAAGTAAAGGGCCACAGTTGCAATGATATCATAAATCCACTCAACAGAGAAAAGTCCACAGAGCCGCAGAGTGGTATGGTTTTTATTATTTTCACTAAAACAGACTAACAGATTCTTACCAATACTCTCTTCCTTTGGGTGTTACTGCTTAGTACTGGCTTTGTACGGAAGAATCTATTGTTCCCTGGGTTTCCTAGTCAAAGCAGAACCTTCTGGAAAGTAGGGCATTGAGAAGTTCTGAGAGATTTTTCTCTTTATATTTAGGGAATTAGGGTCCCTTTATATGCTACAGATCAGGGTCAGTCGCTTCTCCTCAATTTTAAAGAGAAGTTTGCCTTCTTGGATTTCCTTACCTTCTTAAGTTTTAATTGTTGTACAATAGGTGATATACATTTGGGGAATTCTTTACCCAATTCAAAATTTGAAAAATGTACTTGGTACCTGTCAGTTATATTAAGTCAGAAGTGAGGAAGCTAACAATAAAGCCTTATTATAAGAAGAACAGGAGATTAGGAGTGAATTTGCAGGCAGGAGGGAGATCGTTATAAACAGAATGTAAGATAATGGCTTCCTTTGAGCGGAAAACTTGGAGCCCTGCTTTCCTGTCAAAAAAGAAGCCTAATAGGCATTGGTGAAATGTAAATGTATTTTGGGCTGTTCCAATAAGAAACATTTCCTCTGCTTAGCAGACAAGGATATAAATGAACTTGTCAGGCTTGTAATAACTTTCATGCATGTTGATGTGTTAAAGTGGTGAATATTAGTCCAAATCCATCTGTTTCGAGGCAATAAGCAAGGAACAAGACCGTGGGAAACATTTCTTTGCATGAAAACATTGGGATCCTGGTCACTGGGAAGCACACAAGACAGCGACGATTCAGGAATTCACCCAGAAGTTCTTATTTGTTATTGAATTTAACAACCTTTGACATCAACCCTTCCAGGATGTTAACATTAAATGTTTTTATTACCCCCCTAGTGCTACCAGTGGTTGAAGGAAAGAATTGTAAGTGAAGAAGGGAGAAAGCAGCAAAACAAGCTAAAAGACCTTTCCCCAATTGCCGAGCGTCTGGGATGCACACTACCTCAGCTCGCTGTGGGTAAGAAAGCTACTAAGGAGGTGGAAAAAATACCTCTGCTGACATCACACAGTCATTTTCTATTGTTGGTGTTGGGGTAGTGGTGGCCCAGTGGGAGAATTCTTGCCTTCCATGCAGGAGAGTTGGGTTTGATTCCAGTCAATGTACCTCATGCACAGCCACCCCACCCACCTCTGTTTTGTGTGTTAGTATGATGCTGTAATTTGTGTGTCAGAGTAGAACTGTGCTCCATAGGGTTTTCAATGACTGATTTTTTTCAAAGTTCATCGTCAGGTCTTTCTTCCAAGGTGCCAACTTTTTAGTTAGCAGCTGAATGTGTTACCCACTTTACCACCCAGGAACTCCAAAATAATGCAACCTCTGTGGTAAACAGTTTAGCAGTTCCAAGACAGAAAGGAAGGAAGGAGGGAGGGAGGGAGGAAGGAAGGAAGGAAGGAAGGAAGGAAGGAAGGAAGGAAGGAAGGAAGGAAGGAAGGAAGGAAGGAAGGAAGGAAGGAAGGAAGGAAGGAAGGAAGGAAAGAAGGAAAATGCTAAACATAAAATTACCATTGTTGTTGTTAAGTGCCATAGAGTTGGTTCTGACTCATGGTGACCCTGTATAGAATTTCTAAAGCTTTAAATCTTTGCAGAAGCAGAAAGCCTCATCTTTCTCCCACGCAGACTTTGTGGTTCGCAATCCAGTGCTTATCACATGGAGCCACTGTGATCCCTTAATTACCGTATGATCCAGTAATTTCACTTCTAGTTATATAACCAATAAGAATTGAAGGTGCACTAAAACCGATACTTAAACACCAGTGTTCATTGCAGCATTTTTCACAATAGCCCCAAAGTAAAAACATCCAAGTGTCCATCAACAGATGAATGGATAAGCAAAATGTGGTATAACCATACAATGGAATATTATTCAGCCATAGGAGATGTGAAGTTCCAATAGATGTGACAACAAGGATACACAAAAGGGCAAATATTATATAATTCCACTTACATAAAATTTCTAAAATAATATTTTAGAATAATATTAAAATTCATAGAGACAAAAGTTTATTAGTAGTAAAAATTAAAAGTTTATTACCAGGCAATGGCAGGGAGAGGACATAGAAGTTATTGCTTAAGGGGTACCAAATCTCTATTTATTGTTGTTGTTGTTAAGTGCCATCGAGTTGGTTCTGACTCATAGCGACCCTGTATAGGGTTTCCGAGGAGCAGCTGGTGAACTTGAACCACTGGCCTTTTGGTCCCAGCATATTAACCCACAGCACAACATGACTCAATTTAGGGTGATGAAAAGCAATTGCAAATGAATAGTGGTGGTACTTGTAGAACATGACAAATGAAATTAATATAAGTGAATTGTACACTTAATGATTAAAATAGCAAATATTTTACAACAATAATAAAATGGGTGTAGAACATAAAAAGAAAATACCAAGGAGTAAGAAATAGTAGGAATTGGGACAGGTAAGATATAATGATACAATGTGATAAAAATAAATAAACTAAAGATAATTGTTAGGCAAATAATATAATTTAATAGAAGAATATTTGTTGGACACAACACTTGTAAGGAAGGTAGAAATGCAGTTGATAGTCATAGGAAGATGTGAAGGGGAGGTGATATTAGAGGTAGAAAATGCTATGTACCTAAGCATCTCGGCATCTATTGTTTTTAATGTTTTCTTTTAAAAAAAAATACTCAAAGAATATAGTCAATGTGATTAGTTATCACCCCTGTAGCTTTAAAAAGCACAGTAAAAATATTAGCTATCTCACCTGATGATCAATTTTGGTTTTTCCCTAAAGTTGTCTTTTTGGGAGTTGTGGGGTAGGTTTGGAGTGATTTAGGATTTGTGTTGGGTCTGTGGCTAGGTCTAGGCTAGCCTTAGGGTTTCATGTAGTGTTAGGGTTATGGTTAAGACTAGGGTTAGGGGTTAGACGAGGGCTAGGAGTAGACCTTGCTCTAATTTTAGGGTTATAGTTAGATTTATTCCTATTTATTTGTTTACTTATTTTCTTCATCTACTTAATTTCCTCTTCATTTGGAAGTTCTACTACACTATTCCCTCTTTTTATTATGGGGGGGAGGGCAGGTTGTTGCAAACTTATATCTCTGGTTCTCTATTTTCAATCCTGTAGATTTATTTTACTCTGGACACTTCTATAGTCAGCTCGATGAGTTCTAGGTAATATTGTTATATATGCTAATCTCAGGTTGTGATTTGCTGTTATTAGTCCTGTGTCCAAAGAATTGCCTTTAGTATTTTTTGTAAGGTTGGTCTGGTTTTTACAAGTTCTTTTAACTTCTCTTTATCTGGAAATGCCTTAATTTCATCCTCGTTATGTGAGGGACAATTTTGCTGGCTATATAATTCTTGGTTGGCAATTTTTTTTTCTTTCATATTTTTTTTTTTTATATGTCACCCTTTGTCTTCTTGCCTGTATGGTTTCTGCTGAGAAACCAGAGCTGTCTTTTTAGTTCTCTTTTGTAGGTAACTTTATTTTGATGATCAATTTTATCTTCTATAAAATGAGTATCATAATACTTATCTTACAGCCTAGTTAAGTAAAGGAAATGCCATATGTAAAGCAAAGGGTAGGTGCTTGGTAAGTGGTAATTGTGTGATGATGGTGGTGGTGATGATGTTTTTGCAAAGAATTAAACACACAGACCTGAATATGTCTGCCCCGAGCCATGACATGTGGTCAGAGTAATATACACACAGAGAAACACATTTTCTGCACAGTCATAAACATTGCTTTTAGATGGTAATGTCAAAGCAAGTACTGGATTTATCTCTGAATAGGATGAAAGAGCATTCTTTTTCAAGGGAGAAAATTGCTACAAGATTTTAAACTTTCACTGGATGCTAGACAGACATGAACGAGCCTCCTTAGAGGCAAATTTTAAAACATGCTTTCCTCTCTTCCTCCATCTGTGCCTTTTTTGTCAGATGTCTTTGTCATTTTGTTTTCCTTTCTTTATAAACAAAGTGATTAAAAAAAAAAAAAAGCCACACAGAACTCTTAGAACCAAAAGGGAATTATTTCCAGGTATATTTCCTTTGATCTGCTAGAAGGAGGAGCAAGGGATAGAGTAGGGAGCTGCCAGGAAACAGACTACTTATACCTAATGTGTGCTGGCTCCCCATGTCACACACCTGCACAGGAGCCAGCATTCATACCTTGCTGATAAAGAGGCACTCTGGGACACTTCTTCCTCGCCATTTGGCTAGAAATGCTAATTACCCAGCATCAACTGCAGCTGTTACCCATAGAGTTGGCCAACTCTGTCTAGTGGGCTCTCCAGCCACCAGCAGGCCTACCAGGGGAATCAACTGTTATTGACATTAGGTAGTTTATGGGTGATCATTTGCCCAGAGTCCTGCTTGACCCTCAGAAATCTAACTAGAATCAAAAAGAGTTCCCAGTGCAAAGCAGGAAATAATGCAGCCAAGAAAAGAAACAGAGGCTGGATCACTAGCTCTATTGCCTTTTAAAGAACCCCAAAAAGCCAAACCCACTGCCATTGAGTAGATTCCAACTCATAGTGACCCTGGATTGGGTTTCTGAGACTGCAAATCTTTATGGGAATCAAAAGCCTCATCTTCCTCCCACAGAACATTTGGTGGATTTCAACTGCCAACCCGTGGTTAGCAGCCCAGTGCTTATCCTTCAGCACCACTAGGGAGCCTTTGTTGTCTTTCTAGAGCATTATTCATTTTGTCCTTGTGGAAAAATGTAGTGATTGCCATAAAGGTCCAACCACGTGTGGTACACAGCTTAAGAGTATCAACCAACAGTCAGGTCTTGAGCCAATGGGGTAGAAGTGGTGCTCAAGGACATCCATCAATCACTCATACCTATATTTATTCAATAAGCATTAATAAGCACCTACTATGGTTCAGTGTAAGGAGCTCTGGTAGCATAGTGGTTATGAATCAGACTGCTAATCTCAAGGTCAGCAGTTTGAAACCACCAGTGGTCCCATGGGAAAAAGATGAGGCTTTCTGCTCCCGTAAAGATTTACAGCCTTGGAAGCCCTATGCAGGGTCTCTATAAGTCGGAACCGACTCCACAGCACATAACCACCACTACCATGGTTCAGTGTAGTGCTGCAGAATAAATGCTGGATCGAAAGACAGTTTGAACAGCAAGGTTGGTGGTTCAAACTCACCAGCCATTCCTTGGAAACCCCAGAGAGGATCGCTATAAGTTGGAACCCACTCAATGGCACTTAACAACAATATAGTTCAGTGGTAGAATTCTCACTTCCATGGGGAAACCTGAGTTCTACTCCCTACCAATGCACCACATATATAGCCACCAACCAGTGGAGGACATATTGTCTGGAGGAAACAATCGTTGGAGAAGGATGTCATGCTGGGTAAGGTGGAGGGTCCGAGAAAAAGAGGAAGACCTCTAACGAGCTGGATTGGCCAGGTGGCATCATTGATGGACTCAAGTGTGGCAGCGGTAGTGAGGTTGGCCCAGGATCGGACATTGTTTCTTTCTGCTGTGCATGGGGTCACTATGAGTCAGTTCCGACTCGATGGCACCTGACAACAACAACAACAGTGGAGGCTTGCATGCTGTTAAAATGCTGAACAGGTTTCAATGGAGATTCCAGATTACGACGAACTAGGAGATGTATTTCCAAAAACCAGTCAATGAAAACGCTATGGATCACAACAGTCTGATCTCATTTTACATGGAGGCGCCATAAGTAAGGGGCTCACAGGGTAGCAGCTAACAACTACATGATGCATCAACACTGGGCCAGATGCTAAAAATCCAGCTGCAAATTAGACACCTTTCCCAGCCTGGGCGACAAGTCAGGAAAAATACACCAATTACTTTAATATAGTGTTGTAGCAAAATAGTTGAAAAGGGGACAGGGGTTTGCAAGAGGATGCCCAATGCAGTCTGAGGTTCAGGGAAGGATATAAGGAGAAAGTGATGCCTCTAGTGAGTCACTAATGTTGTTAAGTGCCAACTGATAGTGATCCTGTAGTGGATTTCCATGGTTGTAAATCTTCACGGGAGCAGAAAGCCTCATCTTTCTCCCACAGAGCAGCTAGTGGGCTTGAACAGCTTGAACAGTCCAATGCTTATACTACAGCACCAGCAGCACTTCCTGAATTTCTAATCATGAGTAGATATTAGTGAAGCAAAGGGAACCGCTTGAGCAAAGGGCTCAAAAGAGAAAAACAGCCGGATGTTTACAAGTTGGGGGAGGGAAGCCTAGAAAGAGTTGGTTGCTCTTGAAGTAAAGTTAAACACAGGGAGTGATAAGCATGAAACTGGAGCTATAGATAAGAAATAAGGCTTCTAAGACAACGATTGTATCAGGGACCCAGTGAAGAACTTTCAGACAAGGAGGTGAACAATCAGATTTGTATTTGAAGATGCTGCTGCTGGAGGTATGGTAGCTGGATTTGTAGGGAGCAATCCAAGCATGAATTGTTTGAGGGAGAGACCATCATCATCCAGGAGAGAGATGGTGAGCTCCTTAGCAGGGGCAGCAGTGACCAAGAGAGACTGAGACGAACCAGCCGTGTTCTCAAAATGTGGTCCCCTTATCTGCACAACAGAATGCTATTCCGCAATAATAAAACATTAAATACTGATAATGGTTACTAACAAGAAATAAAAAAACAAATGCTACAACATGGATGAACCTTGAAAACACTATGCTAAGTGAAAGAAGCCAGACACAAAAGATCCCTTACCATCTGCTTGTATTTGAATAGAATGGCCAGAAAAGGCAAGTCTGTAGCAGAAAGTAGATTGCAGTTGCCTCCTCCTTGGCTGCCTATTTAACCACAAAGAGGCTCCTGGTGACCTCAGGTTCGGGGCCATAGTAAGAGGGTGACTGGGGTGCAAGAAGGAGGAGTTAGGGCATCTGAATTATCCTTTTAGAAGTTTAAGAAGGGAAGAAGTTGGGCAAGATCTAGACAGGCATGAAGGGTTGTCGTTGTTGGGGTGGGAATAGGGATTAACTGTAACTGGACATGAGGGATTTTGACATGATGGAAATGAGAAGGGTTGCACAATATTTACTAAAAACTGTTGAATTAAAATGGGTAAATTTTAGCTATGTACATTATACCTCAATCAGGTTATTTACAAATAAACCCATGAACTCTGTAGATGCAACATTAGCATCATCTGGTAGCTTGTAAGAAATGCCAATTACCAGGCCTCACCCTAGACTTTTTTGAATCAGAAACTGACACTTTCACAAGTCGCCTAGGTGATTCTGATGCACTGGATTGGAGAAATATTTAGGGGAAATAATCAGCTAGATTTGACAATTGAAAGGGAATGTGGAATCAGAAAAGGTCAATGTCTAAGGATAGCTCGCACGTTGCTGGTGATACCACCAAAGGAGACTGAAAATAACCGAGGAGAAATCGGCAGTGCCTGTGGGATGGACATGGAGCAAGGATGTACAGTAGGCACAGCCTCTGGAAGACTCAACACCTAGTCCCAGGTAGACTGCGAAGTCCTTGGCTACCTATTTAGTCACAAAGAGGCTCTTGGTGACCTCAGGTTTGGGACCTAGTAAGAAGGTGACCAGGAAGTAAGAAGGAGGAGTCAGGACATCTAAAATATCCTTTTAGAAGTTTAAGAAGGGAAGAAATTGGGCAAGACCTAGACAGGCATGAAGGGTTGTCGTTCTGAAGTGCCATTGAGTCAGTTCCGACTCATAGTGACCCTGTATAGAGTTTCCGAGGACAAGCTGGTGGGTTTGAACTGCTGACTGGTAGTTCAAAGTCCACAGCATGACATCAAGACTCCTATGAAGGTTTAACGAAAACTTATTTGAACATAGAAGAGATTTGAGGATATTTTCTTAACAGAGAGAAAGAAGTAAGGGATTAAAATGCCAGGAGATAGAAGGAAATAATGGATGAAAGGAGTCCAAGAAAAGGCAGGAGGAGGTAGATGCAGGACAGGAGCAAAGTTTGGCCTTGGGCATAAACAGCACATGTTCTCTTTAGAATCTGGAGGGTGTAGATGTAGCTATGTGTGTAGGTAGAAGAGTGGGGCATTAAGGAATATTCTACTTGGTGAGTTTAGTTTTCCACATAAAGCAGGAGGCCAAGCTATGGAGCAAGGGTTGTTTAAGGATGCAGGTTGTAAGGTCAGTTCAGGACAAGAAGAAGGGAGGTAACCAAGGGCAAGAGAAAGGCTTGCCCAGGTTGTGCTGAGGACCTAATTAGGTGGAGACATGGAAGGCACAGAGGCGTCAGACTATGGAATGATTTGCCCCAGCACACGCAGCTTCCCTCGTGTGGGAACAGGAAACACAGATACAGTATTGATGGGGATTTGCCAGAGAAGCACAGGAAGGAGAGGAGTGAGGGCTTTGAGGATTGATGAGAGAACAATTGAGGTGATCAAGCACAAGATGGATGTGTGTTAGGAAGAAAAGGAGGTCGAGAGAGGTTGACAGGTGGGTGGAAGTGAAGGAAGTAAGCACCCAGCGAGCACAAGGGCTTCCATTACAGATGAGGGAGAAGTAAGCACATGAATACAAATGTCAGAAGACTGTGGCCCAGATGGACACTGGAATGAAGATGTCTATTGTTGAGCAGTGCTAGGTGTTTTTAGGAAAAAGAACGTGTTCCTGGGCAGTAGGTGGGAAGGATGTCCCAGTTGTTGAGACAAGGCCATAACAGCCTTGAGCCACAGTTCAGGCGCAGATTCTATCAGCTCCTCTGTACCACAAGAGAGGAGCTGTGGCTGAGGTTTTAGTCCCAGAGTGCCCAGTCAGTCCTCCTCCCACAAGTTAAATTCTGGCTGAAACAATGCTAGCTATGCCTGGTGTTTATTACTAACCAGTAATCTGAAGCACTTTGGCATCTTCACCAGTCTGCTTTCTCTCTTCCCAGCGTGGTGCCTGAGAAATGAGGGTGTGAGTTCTGTGCTCCTGGGATCATCCACTCCTGAGCAACTTATTGAAAACCTCGGTGCCATTCAGGCAAGTAATACAGCCCTTTCCAACCAACCCCAGAGAATTTCTGAAGAAGTTCCCAGGCAGTATCCTGTCTTTCCTAACTTTTGTCCTTAGTCTATCACTGCCTCCATACCCAAACCAGCCCACTGCTATGGAGTTAATCCAGGCTCACAGTGACCCTATAGAACAGATGAGAACTGTCCCATAGGGTTTCCAATACTGTAAATCTTTATGAGGTGTTGTTGTTGCTAAGTGACGCCGTGTTGGTTCCAACTCATAGCAACCATGTACAGGGTTTCCGAGGAGCAGTTGGTGAATTTGAACCACTAACCAACCTTGCGGTTCAGACTGATCTTGTGGTCCAGTTCATCTATCTCCCTTGGAGCAGCTGGTGTTAAACAGCCAAGGTTAACAGCCTAATGCTTAACCCATTATACCACAGGGGTTCCTTACAAAGTCTCAACTACCAGGAGCAGGCTACCTGTCTCTGCTGAGGGGAGGGGATGGGGTGTTAGCAGGCAGGGGAAGGGAATGGAGAGGAAGAACGGCAAAGGCATAAGAAGCAACCAGAGCACTTTAACAACACATAAATTCAGGAGTGCCGCCTACTTATTAAAAGGCAATGTTACCAAAGCTCATTTCTCACAATGGTTTATTTTTGTGCGATGGGGCATCTAAGACCCAAGCAATGTTACCAATAGGTCAAAAGTGCCCATTCACTGGAAAATGGGCTCACAGGCTTGACCATAAAAACCTGTTTAATACCCTACTTGACACTTAATAGCCATATGGAGCCCTAGTGTGGTGTTGTCGGATAATGCACTGGACCAAAGAGTTGGTTTGAACCACAAGGTCAGTAGTTCAAATTCGCCAGCCATTCCTTGGAAACTCTATGCAGGGTCACTATGAATCAGAACCAACTGAAAGGCACTTAACAACAACAGAAAGATTGCATAGGAGTCCTGGTGTGGCGCTGTAGGATAAGCACCAGATCACAAGGTCAGTTTGAACCTCAAGGTCAGCAGTTCAAATCCACCAGTCGCTCCTCAGAAACCCTATACAAGATTACTATGAGTAGGAACTGACTGGTCAGCACTTAATAACGACAACAAACTTATATGTAAACTATTCATTCATTTATTTCCAAATATTTATTGCCCAATTTACAAGGTACCAAGGAATACTTAGGTGGTAGAAATGGTTAATGCACTCAGCTACTAGCCAAAAGATTGTCGGTTTGAGTTCACCCAGATGTACCTTAGAAGAAAGGCCTGGTGATTGACTTCTAAAACATCAGCTATTGGAAGCCCTATAGAGTACAGTTGTTATTTTGACACACATGGGTTGCCATGAGTTGGAATCGACACTATGCCAATTCCCTCCTCTCTGCTCTCGTAGTACCCTGCAGCCCACTCTATATCACAGCACTCTGATAATTTAGTATAATTGTCTCTTCCCCTCTGAGATCTGACTCCTGTGTGTTTCTAGTGAGTGTTCCACTGATTTTCTAGTTTCTGGTGTGGCACTGTGGATTAATGAGCTGGACTGCAAAGTCAGTTTGAACTGCAAGATCAGCAGTTCAAGCTCACCAGTCACTCCTTGGAAACCCTATACAGGGTCTCTATGGGTTGGAACTAACTTGATGGCACCTAACAACAACAACAACAATCATACTGCATTGCCTTTAGTCCAAAACAGAAATATATGTTGAATGAATATTTGCCATGCCATGTCTTAAGAGAAATGGTTCAAAATTCTCTTTAGGACTTCCAAGATCATGTTTCCCAAGCAGCAAGATCAAAAGTGCCCATTCCCCATCCCTCTCCTGTTATTCCTGTTGGAGGTCCTGGGCACTGGATGAATCCTGCAGCAGTGGTCAGGGGAAACCTGTAGGGACCAGGATGGGAAGGTGAGAGAGATGCTCATGGAAGTTCTAGACAAGAAGATGGGTGGAAATTAGTGTCTGTTAACACCAACTGGTAACCTTTCTCCCAAAGGTCCCCTCTCAGTCCTGGCCTGCCCCACTCTCATCCCTGCTGAGAGCTCTGGGAAGAGCCCCCTGGGATACTGATCACAGCCACCCCTTCAAAAACAAGGTTCTTGTTTTCCTCTAGCATACTGGGGAGCAGACCTATCTCATAGCTTCTCCATCCTCTTGTCCCTGAAACTAGCACCAGCAGGTAGCCCTGTTACTTCTCCTGGAGAGAAATAGATGGGGTGGCACTGTGGGATCAGCACTAGACTTTGAACCATAAGATCAGCAGTTCAAACCTACCAGCTACTCCTCGGAAAACCTATACAGGATTGCTATGAGTCCGAACCAACTCAACAGCACTTAACAACAAGGTGGGAACTTGATGAAATACAATGTGTAAAAATGTCCTTATTGAAAAAATAACCTAGAAATAAATAAATAAATAAATAAAACAGAATATTCTGAGGACAGATGATACAGACCCATTCCTGCCTACCACAAAGTCTTAGTGCTGGGCAGCAAGCAGTGTGGTCACTTCTGGCTCTCTGTCTCTAACATCTCTGCCCAGCACTACAATTCCTCCTGCGTTCAGCTGGCTTCCTCTTCCTGCCATGGGAAGGCTCCCTTGTGTGTGCCTCCCCCACCTTCTCTTATTTTCACTTACCTTCTGAGGAAAGGCACAGGACAAACAGTGATGATGAAGGAGGAGGGAACAGTTTGTACACAACAGAACTGAAATTCAATCCCATGATTTCAATTCTTTTGTCTGGCGTCGTGCTAGGCAGCAGAAGGCCTGAGATGAGTGAAAACAGGACTCTGCCCTGGCAGAGCTAGCTGAGAAAGACTGGATTAAGAAACCTATCCATTAATTCATTAAGAAGATCTCTATTAAGAGCCTAGTATGTACCAGGTATTGGGAATACCACAGGAAACAAAAAATAGATGAGTGGGCTTCAAAAAGTTGATGTAAAAATGGCATTAAAAGGTAATAAAGTTTTTCCATGAACTTTTGAAGCTGCCTCATATTGTTCCTTAAGGGACTTACATTCTAGTGAGAGACATAATAAATAAGTATATAGAATACATTCAGACTGTGAAAACTATGCTAGTAAGTAAATGAATTCTAGTTAAATAGCTGCCACCAAGTTGTTTCTGACTTGTGGCAACCCCATGTGTGTCGAGCAGAGCTTTGAATCCATTCATTCCGGCATTCCGGTTTGACCTCCTACTAAAAATGTGTATTTCCACCCAATATACTGAGTCCTGGTATGATGCTGTAGTTGACAAAGTCAGTAGTTCAAACCCACCACCCACTCCTCGGAAATCCTATACAAGACTTCCATGAGTCGGAACCAACTCAATGGCACTTAACATCAAGCATACTGAATCAGGATCTACATTCTAACAAGATCCCTAGTGATTGATTCCTGGTGTGGCACCCTAGGATCAGCACTGGACTGCCAGCCACAAGATCGGTGGTTCAAACCCACCAGTTGCTACTTGGAAACCCTGTACACAATCGCTATGAGTTGGAATCAACTCAATGGCAGTAACAACTACCAGTTGACTGAACCAGGAGCGAAGTGGTTAAAGCCCTGGCTAAAGCCCACCCAGCAGGTCTGTGGGGGAAAACTAGACAACCTGTTTCTATAAAGATTATAGCCTAGAAAACTTTATAAGGTAGTTCTCTGCCACACGGGACTACTATTGACTCAAGAGCACTCAACAATGACAACTAACCTAAAGGATGGAGGTTCAAGGCCACCCAGAGGCACCTCAGATGAAAGTCCTAGTGCTCTACTTGAAAAAATCAAGACTCAGTCACTAAGACCTTATGGAGCACAGTCCCACCCTGACACACATGTGATCCTACAGGGTAATCACTGCCATCCCAGGGGAGATGCAGATTGCCCAGGGACCGTACAAAGAGGGACTCCTGGAATGAGCTTCCAAGGCTTGGGAATACGCTTAGTAACCTTCAAGAAGGTGAAAGGGGTAAAAAAACTCTGAGTTAGTTGTCTTCTGTCTTCCCAGAGACAAGAGCTTCCCTGGCAAGAGCTCTGGCTAGTTGCAGGACAGGCTTCTGCCATCAAAGGGTGAGAGAAAAGGGATGTTATCTGAACAGCAGACTGCTATGCTACCAGGGGGATGGATTTACAGCCCCCCCACCTTCTGCCCTAGGCAAGCTTTTAATTGGGCCCCAGATGTGGTGATGTGGATTTGGAAAAGGGTGGAAAGAATGGTGTGCCAGCAGTGGTAAGGAAAGGAAACTTCCAGTGAGCTCCAGAAGGCAGCCACTCCAAAGAATGGAATGTGCTTAAGGTGTGCCTAATTGAAAGGGATATGTATAAATCAAAGGTGCTCTGGTGGTCTAGTGGTTACAAGTCAGGATGCAAACCTCAAGGTCAGCAGTTTAAACCTCCAGCCATTTCACGGGAGAATGAGGCTTTCTGCTCCCATAAAGATTTACAGCCTCAGAAACCTTATTCAGGAGTCAGAACCGACTCCATGGCACACCACCACCACCACCAGGTATAAATCAAAGTATCACCAGGTGGGAGAGGCTGGGGAGAGCTCACCATCATCTGCACTAGCACCTATCTTTCCGCTTCACCTAAAAGGGCAGAATTGCCTCTTTTCCCCTCCCTCCCACCAGCATTTAAAAAAAAAAAAAAAAAAAAAAAAAAAACTGTTTTCATTGTGTTTTTGGTGCTGGTTTACACAGCAGTTTAGGTTTTCATTGAACAGTTTTCTTCACAAGTTGTTCAGTGAAATTGGTTACATTCTTTAAAATGTGTGAACAGTTTTAGTATTTCCATTCTGGTTGTTCTGTTTGCATTAACCAGGTTTTCCTGCACCCTCACATTCTCCTCTTTGATTGATTGGCTGACTAACAGATGGGATTTTCAGCCTTAACATTTTTGAGGCTTCCAATCACTGACCCCATGAAGTCCAGGATTTTCAACAGAGCAGTCAGGTCCTCCACATCTGAGCCCCATATTCCCAGGCTCATCATCATCCCAGTTACTCCTCTCCCAGCACCCTAATC